AGAAAAAAAAATCCTTACCCATATATAATAAAGATGTRTAGTGAAGTGGGTTTTGGAGCGGGTTTGTGTATGTGTGTGTTTTGGGGTTTTAACTGTTTTGTGTTTTTGGGGGGTTGTTGCTTGTTTGCTTTGGGGAGGGTGTTGAGGTGTTGCATTTTTGAGGATTTTTGATTTTTTAGTATTCAATACAGTTCACGCCAATTTCTGTGTTTTTCAGTGACACAAATGACTACATTCTTTGGTCCCTCAGTCAAATGCAAGCTACAATTTTTAGGTAGCTGATGTAACTAAGGCTTGTGATCCTTAGTTACAACAAAGAGATGATGCCCTTGTCCCTTAMTGCGATCAGGTTTTGAAAATACAGTTTTCATGAGTTCACATTTTTTAGAATGAAAGCAATACTTGATTTTCAACAGCAGAGTGGAATTCTCCCAGTGTTGCTTCTCAACATAACTGAATAACAGAGTATTTTRGTGGTGGTCTTTGTGTAATCAACACATGTTCTTGTCACTTCGTGCTTCAGAGGAAATTACAAGACATTTTCCTTTCATACCTATTTCCAGCCAATTTCCTCATCCTTCTCTCTTTTACACATGACCAATTTTAAGTAGTGTAAATAACACTATTTCCCCTGCTTTTTATTTTAGGTTTCCTTTCCCAACCCCCACTACCCTTGCAATACTCTGCCTTCTCATCAGAGAATAGGCAGGAAATTATCCAGTGGCATTTTATATTCATTTTATCATTAGTCACTACTAGATAATGTATGTATTTATGCAAATTTATGTCTAAAGCAAATGTTCTTTAATCAGTTCACACATACCTGAAAAACTTTTCAATAGCAAATTAAATAAATTCTTGCAGTGACCACTTGCTGTGTTTGCAGGCAAAGTCCAGTTGTATGAGCATACCCAGACAAATGCACAGAAACATGCCTATATAGAAAGCCTCCACTCTAATTATAGAACATTATCCCAAAATAAACATTAAAAACCATTTCTACAGGAGGGGGAAATAAAAAAAAAAAAAAAAAAAAAAACAAATTATACAATCTGAAGCCAGAGCCTCAGGTGATGCAAAGGCTGTGCTGGTTTACACCTGTAGTGAAGGGCATACAACTTGCACCCCAAACCAAACAGATCAGGTCTGCCCATCCACGACCAGCACACAGAAAGGGAATGCCCTTTGCCTGCAAAGGGCAATCTTGCTGCTGATAGTAATTCATCCTATCTCAAATCTACGCCACTGTTACTGAAAAACAAAAAGTCCTGCCTTTAACTTCTTTTCAATGTATTTTTACCTTGAGTGTGCTGTATTACAGCAAAGACAAGGGGAGTCAGAAGCATCTGAGTACAGTGCAGACTAATCACCACGTCACTCCAAAAGTGGCCTAAACCTTTAAAAGCATTTTTTTTGCACGCCGTCGTCATTAAAATGCACCGACTGCTTTCTGATACCAACGGGAACAAAGGAAAACCGGGAGTACCAGAACCTGCAGCACTCGCGTCTGCGGGAGAGCAGCGAGCACCGCAACAACAGCAGCGGCAGCAGCAATGGCGAGGGAAAAACCCTCATTTATAACCAGTGACAACTAAAACCTATGAAGTTTTTAAAAGAATGTGATTGTTGTCAAAAGGAATTGGGTACAACAATGCTGCGTTCAGCTCTGSTTCCACTCAAAGCCGTGGCTGAGGGGCTCTGGGAAAGCTGCTGGAAGGCTGGTGGGCACAGACCAGCAAGAAAGTGAATTTTGCATACTGTACGGATCATCGCTCAGTTCAGGGCAGTCATATTGAATCTGTGATCAACCAATTGTGCTTCATGAAACCGTCAGCCCTCATTTATGTCTAGCTGTTTTCTTCTGTCCTGCTGTAAACAAGCTCTGCTCTGAGCTGTCTCCCTACCCTTATCTGCTTACGAAGATCACACAGACAGACCTCATCAGCAGCCTTAGAGTTAAAGTTAAAGTTACTGCTTCCAGACAGCAGTCCCCATGCAAGCTGGAAGTCAAAAAGAAGAGCAACTTTGGAATGACAGAGTTTTAGTTCCTTTTAGGAAATGCATACCTTAGATTCATACACATACTGGCATGTTATGTCTCTTTCATGAAATTAAATTAGGTGTTCCTAATATGAACAACTGTTTCTAACATCAGCAAACTAGCTCAGCAGATTCATCCATGGTTTTGTTTGTGGGTTGGTTGTCTTTTTGTTGGTTGTTGGGGTTTTTTTGTGGTTTGTTTTGGTTTTTTTTGTTTGGTTTTTTTTTTTTCCTTTGGGGCTTTGTTTGAATACAGCCAAAAGAGAAGTAGCTGGAAATATTGTCAGTCTGGTAGGGCTCCAAAAACCTAATAATGCCTGAAATACTCTAAGGAGTGCAATGATGGTAAACAGGAACAGGTATGTTGGCTTCTGTTCTCATTAACTTCAGTGAGAGCATTAGCCTTTCAACAAAAAGCAGAGCACACTTTTCAAAGAATGATCCTCTTGCATAAAAAGGGATGGAGCCTCACTAAGCACATATTCCTCTGTGAATGCACTCACACACACACAAATGCATTAGTTGGCATTTACAGCATTTAATTCTTGTAACCAGCTGCTAAGTCCCTGTTAAGGCTTTCCTTTATGCAGCTGGAGCTGGAACCTTTTCCTTTCTCCTAGGTTATTACTTTGTCTATTTAAGGGATGGCAGCCAAAGAGAAACAGCTTGTTATTTGCACCTGTCTGCTTTAAGMACTCCATGCTAGATTTTGCGGAGAACAAACTTTTTGTTGCTAAAGAGAATGACACTTAGGAGGGTCAAAGAGGTTTTCAGCTGACTCTGCAGCAATTAAAAATAAATAAAATAAATAAATAACCCTCCACTTTGTTTATTATAGCCAGACAATTAGGCCAAAGGAAAAGGCTTGTTGTAAAAGAGCAGCCCAGTGTGTAGGTGGAAGATGTAACCCCGTGTGTCTGGTCTGATAGAGCACCAGGCACAGCCAGGCATGGCTGAACCTGCACGTTGCCCACGCAGGAGCCTGTGGGAAAGCTTTTGCCTCTTCCCCTACAAAATGCAGAAATGCCTCAGAAAGCCAA